CTCTCCAGGTCATCCACTTTCTTCGCCATCGTCACATCAACTCTATCCCCATCAGCAGCAGCTGGCACAGACCCATTCAAACAGTCACAATGCCTTGTTCCAAGAGTACCAACAGCATTGTCCGCCTCCTCTGCCGCACTGCTCACAGTCCCTTTCGATCCATCCATTTCACTCACCACAGATACCGCTGTGTTCAGCCCTGGGCAGTTATGGGTGGAGCACATTGCCCACACACCTGGCCAACAGGGCCTCTCGAGGAAATTTCCCAAACTTAAGAGACAGTGTGACAAAGAGTCCCACAAAGAGCAAAACCAAAGAAAAGGCTGGCAGCAGACCGTGGCCCAATGATTCCTATGTGTGGAATTTGCGCTCTCTGGAACCACCCTCTCACATGCACCACTTTCCACAAATACAAGCCCATGTACAGGTAGGATGCATTGGCAAGAAGTCTTCAGATGTTAGATTTTGATCCATTTTATTTTATTTTTTTAATTAAATATACTCATAAATTGGTTGCTATTACTTTCTTGGATACATTTTTTTGCATGCGAAACACAGGCCATGTGTTTATTTGCAATATAGGTGCATTTTGCCTTATAGCTGTTCTCAGATCTCACTATCATACAAAACATGAGCTACTTCTCAAAATCTGATGAATTGAGAACAGTTTGAGAAAAGGTGCAAAGGGTTCCATTGTCGTTGTAACTCTAAGTTACCAACTTCACCTTCAGGTAAAGCAATTAAGTGATCTTTCAGCTATTTGCATGTTGAAATGAAGTCTCAATTCAGTTAGTGTACGTTACTATCTTCAGTAACGAATAATTTTTTATTATTCTGTCAATGCAGTGATTTGAATTAATCCTTCATTATATTATCAACGGTACTGTGGCATAACAAATGGAAATGTTAGAAAAGTGCTTCTATTGCTTGTATCACGATTGAAACATGCTCCGATCGATCAGCCAACAATTGGCAGCGGCCGATTTCCGTGTAAAAGTACGTGATCGGCATACATCAATGCCTTTCATTGCTGATCACAAAAAATGATCACGCGCAGGTCGTACTTTGCAGTCTGCAGCCAGCCTGTGTGCGGTATAGTGTCTCCTCCCCCTTTCCTGAACACTGCATGTTACAGACCAAACCAGTAACTGAATCATAATTGTGCATTTTCACCTTCACATTCACGTTTTTTTTGTTTTTTTTTGTAGTTTGAAAGTTCAGTAGTTGAAACATGTTTGAGCACAATTGGGCTAGCACAATCTAGCGCTGCCTCCGGTCCTCCTGACCATGAAAGCCACATGCACGTTGACACACAGCACAGTGGAGAGGGAGGCATGCGATTGCGTGAGATGGAGCTGCCCTCCAATACCATGACTTGATTTTAAGAAAACTAATAGAGGATAGTTCAACATTGAAATATCAACTCCAGCCTTCCTCCGTGAAGTTTGAATGTCACCCCCCTATGATGTTTGATATTTTCTCCAGATGCTCCATCTTTGTCTTCTTCTGCATTCCAATAAATGCTTGTTAGGTTAAGTGAAAAGTCTAAATCGTCCTTAGTTTTAAATGGAAGTCTGAATGGTTTTCTGGATGGGCCCAACACATCAGTCCAGGCTATGTTTTACCATTCGCCCAAAGTAACCTGGTGTAGGCTTCAGAAAGAGGATGCAATGTGCTGCTGAAATATGTCGAAAGCACTGTTTTTATTGAGAAAAAAAGTTTGGGATTTTTTTTTTTACAATTATTTGACCAAAGCAGGGATTATAATCAATTTGTATGTGTTTGCTCACCAGAAATTGTCCTTAATCTCATATCTAAATCATTTTCAAGATTCTTTGGACAGTCAACATATGCTTTCATTTTCTTCTTACATCTTATTCAAGTTCCCATTACATTTTCATTTGAATGTCCAGGGGTCAATTTTCAGTTGTGACAAATTACAGACCAAGCTATTGCAAAACAATGTTGTGATTCAAATCAACACAAAATGATGCTTTATTTGATTTATCAAAACTATAATACCCGTATAAAAATTGTGCTCTTGGTTTAATCCGTCCATAAAAACGTTAGAGGCACAAAAAAATGCAACCACTTGTCTGTCGCTGTGAATGTGAACAAAGCTATAGGAAATGGGAGGTACTCTGAGTCTTAATTAATGTCATTAGCTTGGCAGTTCTAATTTCATTAGAGTCAAACTCTATCTGATTAACTGAGGAGGCAAATGAAGTTTCATTACATATCCGGAAGAAATGTGGAAGAGTTACAACGTTGTATACACTATGTGTACATCACAATTACGCAACACATCTCAACAGCTGCCATCATTTAAATTTGACAATTCTATTTTTTTAATTAATTAAAATGCATGAAATGGCATAAAACCTATGAGTGTCATTACTTTTGTCCTGAATTGAATGGTCTTGCATTTTTTTTTATGTATGCATGTTCAGAAAAGTGACGAATGAATGTCTAATATACAGCTGATAGACCTTGTATTGCTAAATAAACGTCTCTCATTTTTGTCTATCTTGCCAATTTGATTCATAATGCAAAATGATAATTTTATTATTGCAGTTACGACTAAAACATCTGCTGATTAAAAAATAAAAACCCTCCTTCGCTTTAACTAAGAATAACTTGTGTAGGCGGGTGCGAACCAATGGTAGTCTGAATGTGTGTCACGGGACGTCCTTTTCTTAAATGTTGACATGAGGACTATGACATGAATAGGGCCGACTCTATGGAACACTTCATAACTGCCTGCACTAAGCAACTTTTGGGTTATGGATTTTGAGTTTATCTAAATGTATGTTAGAGTGTGAAAAAAAAAAAAAGAAAATCCATGAACTCTCTACCTCACACACAAACGCATGCACTCACACACAGGCTGTTACATAATTGTGCAGTCTAACTTGGCGTGTCACTCAAATCAACAGCTGACTGAGCGACTGCATTTTCTGTTTCTCATCCACTAATACACAAATACATGCACCCAAAGATTCATTCCTTTTGTAGTCATTTAATAAGTAAAGGTTGGATTGAATTAAATATGTCAGATGATATTAGACCACCATTGCTTAGGCACTCAGATTTTTTGGAGGGGGGGTGTAATTCAAATTCATTTTCGGAATTGCTTTTCCTCAATAATAAAAACATATATGTATTTACAAATTTTAAGGTATATATATTTTTGGGATCAATATTATGTTTTTATGGATCATTTTGTACTTTTTTTTTCAGTGCATTGTGATATTCGTTTGCATGGATCTGCACCTTCTGCTCCTCATTACTGTTGTTGAGTTGACTCCTCCCACCATACGACTAATCCCTCAGATCCTCTCTCTTTTTTGGTTCCCATGGGGGATCAAGCATCCATTCAGCATGACTGACAGATTGGACACGTGGTGCGAGCGAGAGAGAGAGAGAAGTCAAAGGGATGTGATGGATGAGAGCGATTGAGATTAGTATTGAGGGATAAATGCTATCTCTGCTTGGTTGCACAGTGATGCTGCAAAGTCTGGGTGGACCGTTCATTTGGTTTATAGCTTTGATGGGATACTGGACAAATGCAGAGCTTCAACTGTTCCTTCATTGACTGGCTAGCGGATGTTTGTTTGATGGAAGAGGACCGTAACGTTGGATTGCATAAATATACTGAGTGGAAAAAGTGAGATGGGGAAAATAGGAGAGGTTTTAGTTCAATGCTTGTGAGGATTGTGAGCTTGTATATAAGGAGAATATGATTGGGTAGTGAGCATGTACTAAGCAGGAATGAAGGAAAACCCATGTCTGTATCATCCGTTGTTTTCTGATATGCTTGGTATTCAGATAAATGTTGTTGGGAGGCGGGGGGTTGGAATGATTGAGCACAGGTAGACAGGTGACAGCTTGGCTTTTTCAAATTAGTTATAGCCACACGTCATGCACTCTGACTAATCCGTGGACTAAAATGTAGTGGAGAGTCACATTGCTAAGTGGCGTGTAAATAATGAATGGGCATGTGCATTCTTTGAATATCAATTGTTTGATTGTTGAGTGGGCCTCATAAATTATGTTTTGCATTTTAGTAGTACATTAGTATTGTCTATTGGAAGGGGGTGCAGTATGTCATGTGGTGAATGCAGTCACTCCATGCTCGTAATCCGTAGCAGATATACTCAACATGCTGTACCAAAACATGAGACGAGTAAGTTATTATTACAGTGCTCTGTATCTGTTTGTGTGTGTGTGTGTGTGTGTGTGTGTGTGTGTGTGTGTGTGTGTGTGTGTGTGTGTGTGTGTGTGT